CAAAAGATAAAAGAAAAAAAAAGCTATAATTAGAGAACAACTATATATTGATTTAGTTGAAGAGAATTTAGCTACCTTAAATTATAATAAAGAAGTTATAGAAATAAAATCTGAAAGTGATGATGAGGATATCATATTAGACTATCCAACTCTTAATATTGAAAGTAGTGAAGAAGAAATATTCAAGAATATTGGAAATCATAATAAAAGATTTAGTTGAATATTAATTTAGATCTTGAAATATCAACAAAGATATCAGTTATCAGATATTGCAACAGATTCTTTATTTAAATTTATTCATTATCTATTGACTTATCTTGATTAAGATTAATTTACAAACTTTTCTAAATCACTTTATTTGGTCTGAAAGTTAATAGAATTAGGTCCATATATAAATAATTATGCAATATGTCTAGGATGTAATAAATTATACAACCATAATTAAGTAATAACAAAAAAGTCTAAACAAATTCCAATATGTCTTTATTGTACCTTTGTAGAATATTATAATCACTCAATATTTAAAATGAGACAATCTTGTAATCAACTATTGGCAAAGAAAGTACCTACAAAAGATGAAATATTGTATTATTCTTTGCTTTCTTACTTAATAATAAATATTAAAAATTAATTTTAGTTATATAGCCAAAGAAGATTTGAAGCATCATGCAGAAAATAGATTAATAAAAAAATAAATAATAATTATCTTGCTAATATCTATGAAGATAATATATAGAAGACATTTAAAGATAAAGATACAAATTTCTTTATAGCTAAGCATGCCAATACATATTTAGGCCTTATGATTAATTTAGACTAGTTTAGTTCTTTTCAAAATTCTATATATTCTACAGAAGCAATATATGCAGTTATTTGCAATTTGCCCTATAAACTCAGATTTAAGTCTCAAAATATAATTATCTTTGCATTATTATTAGGGCTAAAAGAAGTTAAATTATATTACATTAATCATTATTTTGCATCTTTAGTTAATTAATTACTTGAATTGTAGAATAGAATAGAAATCATTATAAATGAATCATTTATGGATATGAAAAAAATTAAATGTGCTGTTATATGCTACTCATGTATTATTCTGGCAACTAAAAAGTTATATGGACAAATATCAGCAAGAATTGTATGCTTTTAATGTGAAAAACATGCACAGTTTTATGCTAAATATCAATCTAACTTTGGTAGATTTGTAAATATAGATGACTGATCTGTAGAATGTAATATTGATAAAATTAAAATTAATGCATATGCATAATTATAGTAGAAGACTAAAGATCAAAGAAAAAAACACCTAACCAAACACTTTGTTAGATAGTTAGAACTTTATCATCTTCTCTATTTTAACCTAATTAGATATATAACTGTAAACCCAATGCATTGTTTATTTTTGGAAATTGCAAAATAAATTGTTATGCAACTATAAGTAGAAGATAAAAAATTAAGTCCTAATAGTCTAAAACTTATGAATAAAAGGGCAAAAAAATTATAGCTTATATCAGATATCAGAAGAATTCTTTATAAAATTGCTACAGGAAAAGGATTCTCTGGATATACTGCAGACCAATAGTAAACATTTATAATAATATATGCTACTATAATTACTTGGGATTTATTAACAGAACCAGATCAGCATATTCTTGCAAACTTTGTCAGAGCATGTAATCTGTTAGTTTGCAGAATATTAAACAAGAAAACATTTAATAAAACATATCAAAGATTATTAAATGTAATAAAGTTAATAGAATGCCATTATGGTCCTGAAAAAATTACTTCTAATATCCATTTAAGTTTACATTTATATGAAAATTGTATGGATTATGATCTATTATATTCATTTTGATGTTTTTCTTTTGAGTGCATGAATGGAATATTAGGTAAATATTAGGAATATTATAACTATAATTTATATATAACATTGTTTTTTGTAATAATATTTATAATTATATTTTATAGACTTATATAAGAGTAGCTATAGAAATATAAAACCAGAACTTATAAGAATTATTCTTGCAAATAACTGTTTAGACCAAATTGTATCATATGCAGAAAATGATAATAAATTATCTGATTCTTTAAAAATATTAAAAGAAAGAAAATCAAGTGACAGTATAGACATTTCAGATGAATTTGAATTACAAGATCTTTTTCAATTTTATAAATTAAGAAAACTTATTAATGAGAGAGAAGCTTTTGGTGATAAACCATTTCCTGATATATTTCTTGATTCAAAAATATAAAATGCTATATTACTACTTAATATATTAGATCTTTTAGTTGAATACTATAATAATATAGTAATAGATTATCAATTTGTTAAACCTGAGGATATATATACAATTAGTCAAATATCTGTATCTCCTATCATTAATCAATATGGATGATTAAAGTTGGAGTTGAAAATTTTTGGATTTACATTCTTAGCCTGCTATACTAAATCTTTAAGAATTCTGACAAGATTTGTTGCTTTAGAAGATGAAACAGTAGATTCATATTTTGGTTAAGTTTAATTCTATTTTGATCATACTATTTATCTTTCTTCTGACAATCAAATATATTATCTTACCTTTTTAAGATGATATAAACCTGCTAACAATTATAAACACAATTCTATATAAAAATTAATAATGATGATCTTAGTTGTAATGTAGAGTTGTAGGACCAAGAATTTTACAAGTTAAGCAGAAACTTTGTAATTTCTATATATCAAATCTATTGTCAGTTTATAGCAGGTATATATGCTATTGAAAATATATCTTCAAAAACATATATAACAGTAATTCCTTTACATAAAAAGTATCATTTATAAATGTTAATATATAAATTAGTATTAATAAATGCCAATATATAAATTAGCATTAGCAAACATCAATATATAAATTAGCATTTATATATATTATTATTATATTTTTTCATATTAATATTAAATTCTTTAACTATTAAGATATTTAAATAAATTATAAACATATCACATATAACTTATAAAAAAGCTGGCACTATATATATAAATATATTATTTATTAGCATGATAACATATTATATATCATATGTATTAATTTATTAGTATTTATTTAAGTATTGTTGAATTTCAGTATTACTAAGTGATATTTATATAGAAATAAAACTA